TAGCAGCACATCCAGACGTTGAGGTTACCATCACTCGTTCATAAGTTATATAAAGGTTTTCCCTATACACGTGCCACCGAGATAACGGTCTACCTTTCAAGCATTTCTTATCTCAGACATTTCCTAAATTGCATCAAATATGCTTCGTGCGTCCCGATATTCTATCAAGACACACATACAAAGGTTAAGGTAATTATCAAATTATTTCGTGAGCAAATTTTGGCTTTTAGGATCTGCGATATCACGAAATCAAATCTGAGTCAGGGTGAGGTTTTGATGACCTGAGCTACTGAACCATGTTACAAGCTTTCATGAGAATGAAACTTTGCACCCTATGATGAATGACGGGCATTATTTGATATGTTTTCTGTTTAGTGTATAATGTATAAACTCACAAAAAACAACACTATAAACATTATTTCAGAGAACTAACACATGTACTTAAGTAATAGCCATGTTTTAAAAGGATGTGTCTGACAGCCGGAGGCACATGTAGTACATAGCCCAATGCTTTCTATGCAATTAGAGATTTACTTAAGCTATATAAGAAAAAAAGTAATGCCTAACAAGACAGAAAAAAGAACAGAGTTGGCTATATCCGTTAATAGCAGGTTTTCGTTAAGAAATAACTAGTTAATGTACCATCATACGACCGTGTCCAACTTTAAATGACACACGTCGTGTGAGGCTTTGACAAGAAGCTTTGAGATGAGAGACAGAGAGAGAGAGACAGAGAGACAGAGAGAGAGATCATTCACTAGACGTTGTCTTTAAACATCATACTTCTGTAATTTCCTGGTGTATTCGGATTCTCCAGACACCACCTGGTAAATTGCAGAATGTAATCGTAACCTTACCATTATACTGTAACATCGAAACTTTTGGCATTCAGCGCTACAACAGCCACAGCCAACATTTGACTGCTATCTGAGATACCAAACAGATCCAATACAGTTATCCAAGAGAAATTGCAGTGTTCTTATGCATGGTTATATATCAACGTGGTGCGTCTCCTCGCGAGCTTTGGTGTGTAGGGTGGCATGCCGTGTAATTATGTTGTCTGACCGATAGCGTACAGCCTCAGTGTGACCCCCATACATTGCCTTTCTCTAAAAAGGTGGTGCTTGTACATCGTATTTGTATTACGTGTTATGACTCTGCAAACATCTGTTCGGCTGAAGTCAGTGATCAAACTGTAATAAGGGATACCCTAATGGATTCACGTCTCAGCTTGCTTTGTCATGTCCTACGGTGAGATCAATTTGATATTTTCCATTGTGATTTTAGTATTTACCTTATTTTAAGTTGGTATCGTTTTACTAGCAGCTCAACTTTCTGTACTTAATTGTAATTATTTTTATCGTCCAAAGTCTACGCGGCGTAACAGACCACTCGTTGGCGAAATACAGCCAAGCATAACGATAAAATCTCAATGATCAATCTTTAATTTGAATCCTGCTTCTATAATTTTTTTTTCGTTCAATTAAGCTGTTATAAAATACAAATTGAAGCAGTATTTACATAATTTAATACATTATTTAATCTTTTTCTCAATGACTTGTGAAAATTTGTTAAATGATAGCCCATTGAAGTGTCAAATTAATGTAAAAAAGAGTATGAGATCCGTTGGACGTCAATGTACGATATTAAAATGACTCTTAGTAGATACGTTTGTTGACCACTTTACCTACGTGCAGTTAAAAAAAATAAATCTCGGTAATCGATACATACGTACAATGTTTCTAATCAATATTCTTATGTTTAAATTGTGTATATTATTTAAGAAATTTTCCTCGTCTTTTTGACATCTTTTCATTATTACATGTGCTATGAGCAAAGAATTATTGGATTCGGAAGCTAGATATAGCTGACTAATCAAAATTTACTAAATTATCTGGTTAATCTTTGTACTTTGTTCGATTCTATCGGCAAAACGTGCTTTCCGCAATAACAATTTTTGATACAAAACACATGTATTATCTCCATAATCAAAATGAAAGCGAAATGGGTCTATATGAAAAAGAAAAAAAAATACTTGAAAACTAATTTTACATAAAACATATTTAAACTTAACATTTCCACAAAATTGTCGAAGCTATAATGTCAACTGCTAACATATATAACTTTATAAAGATTTGAGAGATCCAGGATGATAGAAACTATAGGGAAGTTATTTGGTCGTTAAGGTGATCTCATTCGGAACTTTTCAATTTCCTTGTGTGTTATGAACTTGTTCGGTGCTCGTTAGTATACATGGCGGACTGGTTATACAATCTTTGAGATAGCAGGTGGTAGACAATTCTGGTAGACTTTAAGTCCTCGAAGTTTGCAGAAACCTGCATGCCAGTTTTTAATTCATTCGAAAAGTGGCACGGTTCAGAATATACACATGTACTTGACATTGTTCTAAAATTAGCTGATGTATGAAAATTACGACATTTATCTACTTAGGGCGCTAATGTACCTTCCCGTCCAGATTTTGACTTTTTTTTTCCGATCACCATGGATTTTACTCAGGCGCCTCCTAGGCTTCAAAAGTTAGACCCTTAACATCACTGGCGAGTCCTAGAGGGACGAAACAGCTGCCTGACTGATGCAGTGTAATTCGTTATTTGGCTCTACTGTGTCTAACTCTAAATTTGTATTAAGAGGTGCTATTCACATGTGTGTCTTTTGTACAATCTTTAATTACCGGTTCTCATTTTAGAATATTCCCGAACTTTCGTGTAGAAGCTTTGACACTTACCATTGTGAACGTTTTTGAGTTTGAATTTTAAACTTTGATACAAGTATGTCGGTATTTCTACATTTAACAACGAAGACTTGTAATACTGAATTATCTGTATTAGATATTCCCTGGAGTATGTCCGGCTAGTATGTGATTAAGTTTCAAAATTCTTCTAATTTCTTTGAAAGATTATTATTGTCATACCATCACATATCCTATTGTCTTTGGATAACATGCAATTCTATCAATGTCATAGAGTTTCACAATAGACAATCAAACTAGTAAAACATTCACTATACACATTTATCGTGGGAATAGTGTGAAAAGGCAGTTCAACATTCGTAATAAAAGCATTGGCACTTGGTTCTGTAGCAGGTTGTTTTGATGAATTACCCATCAATACGAACAGCCAGTTATTCACAGAGTGCAATGATGGTCAACACATCAGAAAGGTGGTATTCTATTGGGAATGCAACCATAAGTGTGCGATTTACGTAAATCAATATAACTATTGACTATGTAACTGGAAAGTCCGTCAATCAAGTTTACAGTGGATTTAATTTGAAACAAGTGTTGAATCTTTCACATCACAATACTCACCACAATGTAAGTTGTGTACTTGATTGATCAGCGTGCACCAGGGGAGATTCTGTCCTATCACATCACGGCTTCGCAGCTGATTCAGACCCCCAATGGGAACGACTGACGGCCCTGCCTTCCGTAAGGTGTGTTGACAGTTAATCACTTGACCAGACAGATAAATTGTGCTCTTTGTCAATCATTTTCCACAAGTGAAATGAAGAACATGTTAAAGGCATCTGAAACACACACATGTATGAACAATACGGAATTGTAACATTTTTAACAACATTGATAATATGACAATATCGGTGAGAAAGGTATGTATATTATTTATAGAACACTACAGTTGAATGCGTGGGGCGTTTATATGTGACCAAATGCATTTCGTTAGATATGTAACCAGGGAAGGATATTTTCTTTACTATCTTAAATGTCTTTTAATGACATTGCTGTGAACACTTCAAAAGTCCTGATGAATTTAAGACGTATGGTGTTATAAAAGTTCTGATCCAGTTCAGCACAATGTTGACCTATTAATAACAATAACAATAACTTTCATCTAAGCAGGTTACCATATTTAGATAATTTTATTAAACAAAATGGCTGTTTGACAATATACGTATATATTCATCTAAACTGTTACAACTTATTTCATATCTGAAAGGAGTTTCTTAAAACATTACAATATTACTTTGTTTTAATGGAATTGTATCATTATATGAGATATATTTTGCATATCACGGGAAAAGATTAATAATAGCCTCAACATAGGGTCTTATATTTTATCACATATTTATTTTATGAAATAAATCAAACAATTTATTTTAAACTTCGAGGTGTGCTTAAGAACATCATATATGAAATGAAAATAAGTGAGTTTTGGGAGTTTTATAGTCAGGATGTGGTCAACAAAATCAAATGAAGGCAGCCATTTGGTTGCGACGTATTCAATCCTTGATGTAATGTGATTGTCCTTATTATGACTTCCTAATTGATTTCGTGCTTGCAGAGCCAATTAAAACGCTCTAGGGTATACTACACGAGTTACATATACAAGAAATATTACAGGGACACGTTCGCTGAATAATTGAGCGATAATGTAAAAATGCATATGATTGTGTGTATGTATATATATTCCATTATGCAATATATTACGATATGTGGGAATATTTCCTTAATGCGACTGCTACTTTCCATGCTATAGTTTTTAAGTTGAATAAACAATCACCACCTCAACCTTCTGGGTCATTACAGCGAACGATGAAATATGAATGAATGTATAAATACGAGAAAGTCGTGCGCTTTGTAAGGAGTTTAAACTTCCCATGACCCTCATTGCATAACAGTAATTTGAAACGTTTAGCAATGCTTAATGACAGTACTGCAACTGCCCTATATATGTTTAAGTGTCACAGTCGGCTTAGATTGTTATCTTGACGTTTCCTTGACTTGTAAATGAGGACATCAACAGAAAATGCATACGAGCACGACCTAAATATATCATTGGAATAAAATTGGTGTTACTTTGTTGAATTGGTGGCTATTTCAATATGTTTTGGATTTCTAGAAACAATTTCATAAAGACACAGCAGGATTATGAGATGTCCCTCAAATGATACTATAGATTGTTTGAAGCATTTGATTTCTGTGTCTATTTTCGTCGAAAAATGCCATTGTCTTCTAGTCAGGATGATGTGATTGAAGTAATCTTATGTTTTACTTTTGCGATGCCAATGACTTACTCATTGATACTTTATATAATTGACCCTTGTTTTTTTTCTTTTGTTCTTAGATAAGATGTCATCTACGTTTCTTCAGTGGCCATGGTCTCGATCGGATGTAACGTCATCCTGTCTGTGACGACTATTGGGATCTAAACCGTTATCTGTGAACGTCTTTATAATTATCAGAGAGCACAGAACAGCAGTATTAAGTGTAACTCTGCAGCCGAGAAGTCGGCGAAAACACCTCACAAATGGTTCCCGATGATTAGATTTTAGAAATATATCATTTTGCATAGAAGAAGAGAAATCGATTTAAGAAGAAGTATTGCAATGCAATTTCATGTTGACAGAGTGTCATTGGTGGTTTGTATATTGGTCATTGTGAACTGATTGGGTCGTCCTCAAGGTAATTTACTGCCTAATCTGTGTCTTCTTACTTTGATTGGTGGAATGACGCGGTAATCAGGACGGATTGAACTGTTTACGTTATAAAGCTACCGACTGCGGTTGACACAGAAATAATAGAATGTGTAAAATCTAAATGAAGAATAATTAAACGCGTCCTACACGTAGACGTCATCGGGCAGTGCATTTAATTATCCATTGAAGCACAGTCAGATTGTTGTCACTCTTATGGAGTATAAATTGACAGGGAGGTAATAGATGTCATGCAGACGACGAACCGAAAAAGATGTTAATCCCTGAGACAAAACTCTCATAAAACAGGAATGTTGATGGTTATGAGAAACATATCGTTAAAACTATAGTGGGATTCACCGATATGGATATGACTTATGTACCTATCACCGGGATTTGGCTTCGTGCATTCACGCTGTGTTTGCTGTTGTTTATTTCTACAGTGTCATCATGGACTACATGTACAAAACCCAAAAAGGTAGGTCTGTTATCATATTGATATAGTATACTACTTCATTGTCTCTTTAGATCAAGTATCACCATGTCATATTATATAAATTCAGGTTCCATCATTTCATTAAGACGAACAACAAGCTGAACAATAATGCCCTGCCTCTATTTTGCTCGAAATTTGATAGTTTCGTCGTCGCTAAATAGAAAAAAAGTACTTATGACACGAGCATTATTATATTTTGGGGGATTGTTAGAATTAAATGTGTATTTGGAAACATATCGTATGTAACACTGTGATTCTCAGATATGAAGCTGACAGCAGTTGGTTTCGTTTTGACCAGCAAAAAGTAGATTGTCTTAGGAGGATGAATCGACTTGCCGTATATGTTGTGAAAGTAGTTAACGTCCTAGAAACATGATAATAGCAATATACGGAATTAAAAATAGAATCTCCAGTTGTATGTATTCCTGGGAAATGTTAGGGTACGACAAGATGGACACACTGTATATATATTACAGGGAGAAGATAACGAGAGTGTTCCAGTGTATCCTTTATAGGGCTATTAACTGTATTATTGTGAGATGTCCTGGGTACTTGTGAAATCCATAGCAGTGCATGTAGGTTCATCGTACGGCTTTCATTTCACAACACAATATATATTTTGATACATTGCTTTTCCGATAAGGTATTGGTACTAAGTAAACACGTGATCCTAATACTATACCGTGCTGTCTGAAAGACACGATATCTCACTCGTACTGAATACGGCAGGAATATTTAAGGTTATATGGGACAGATGAATTTTTATTAATACATGTCACCAGAATTAAATTTATTGATAGAATAAACTGATTTTTAAGTTGTATTTTGTCAACATTAATGACAAACCAATATTATCGAAACATTCAGAATGCCCGAGAAAACACTACTGAGGGCTATTTTTTTCAAGTAGTGTATTGTCAGCTTGTTTTTAGAGTCATTAGCCTGTGATTAAAATATACATATAAATAAATGTAAATAAATATATATATCATACCACATTATCATTTGAGTGTAATGTAGATTCATTTAGTTAATTTAGTTTGCGTAGTTCGCTTTATGATTAAAGAACAATAGTAATTGACTACATCATCCTTAAGATAGTGAAATATAGCATTTGTATGGAAAGAAAACATAGGACAACCACTACCAAATCAGTTTGTAACATACCGTATACAGGAAACTATCAAGAAAATACCAATAGGGCAACAGAATTATTCTATATCATTCTATGCGTACTTGTAATCTCTGTCTTATTGATATATATTCTTTTTTATCACATGTAAATGTTGTATGGGAATACATTTCTTTTTGATGTCTCAATAATCATCTTAAGATATTTTTAGAACATGCACATACTGATACATTGAGTCTATATACTGAGTCTGCAAAATGGACTGCGAACATAGTTTACATGTCTTCTATTTAGAATAGACAGCTTATTTGAATTATCCTGACGTTTTGGTAAAGTAAAATACTGTTATTGCTTGTTATTAGGTCAAGATTTCAATTTCGTTAAGAGGTTGTTCGTTTGGAGAAACAATGATACATTTTTTAAGTTAAATGCTATTAACGTGATGTTAATGTATCAGTTCTTTTTTTCATAATCACAACTTAGCTGGAGCATATCACTAGGCTAATGAAATAAAGAAACAGTCATGCTTAAAATCTTTCTTATACCCACTCTTGTGGCCCCATTCGGTAAATTTGCCTCTGGATGTTTGCGGTTTTGCTATCAACGGAGCATATTAACTATGCCCGAAACATATTTGGCTGTAGGGTTTCATTTTGGAGGGGGTCACCTCTCGGTAGTTGGTGGCAGCCTCAATGGACACTATACCGAAGGCCCGTTACATGCCATTCATAGCATATAAGAGTAATGTCTCTGACTGATGTACACATCATGTGGAACTAAAATCGTGTATGACATTTATTTATCCTAGTAGATGTTGTTCGTAAGGTGAAATAACGATTTCAATTGTGTGTTCTTTCGGGTTTGTTCCTCTAAGACAATCGACCAATCCATCAATAGGGTAATAGACCTGCATCTAATCAAGTAAACAATGAACGAATTTAACGAGGATCCCTATTAAATGTTATATAATTAAGATTAAGCACTCAAAGTATACTAGTTACTTAAATTGGAATAAGATGTAACGAGCTTTTATAACATAGTGGGTATATTACATATAGAGTAAGTTATGATAAGCTCGTAAAAGGCAATAATTATACTTATTTAAACGTGAAGTAAGCTATACCTTTCAAAATATGATTGGCTTCCTAAATTCCTGAATACAGACTTCCAAATAAAGACATGGACCGGTTGCCTGAATTTAGGACGATTTTTTTGTAGATAATATTAAAATGTTAAAAAAGAAATAAACCAAATTTAAATCATTTCTCTGTGATGCTGATACCATAAATGGTCCTAATTTGAGTAGACTATCGATCCCATGAGGAAGTCATAATGTTGAAATGTTACTTTGAAGATTAAAGTATAGGTTATTGTATGAATTTCGAGTAAAACGGGGTTTATTACACCAGTGTGATAACAAATGACGGAAAATCCTGCAGTAACTGACATATGGCAAACTTCCCCAAAGGAACGCATGAAATGATTGAGTACGAGACATTTTTTATAGCCTACCTAGCTTTGCTTAATTCACTGTGTAGGACTCGTGAAACCTCAGAGTGTGATTGGCGTCAGTGCGAGATAAGTTTGACTGATCATTGTAAGTGATTTGGTATTGTCTTTCAACATAAGTATACTTTTGATTCGGATGATTCTTGAATAGGTCCTTAAAATGAAGCAAACACTGGATACAAAAATTGACACCGCTGCACAGGGAAGAAAACATGCCAGACGATTTTTGTTTTCATTGAAAGGTCAAAGTTACATTTATTGAATGGTCTAACACGAGCAATTGCTGTTTTTAGTATTAACCATGTCAATGATAGATAATATTTACTATTTAACATACAGCAACAGATCACTTAAGCAATCGTTCGAAGACTTTTTTGCTGTTTCATGATAAGGAGGTAGATATTTCAACAATGTTAACATGGTAAGCAAGGGAATTGAGAGGGGTCAATAATGTTGACATAAGGGTTCGATAGTGTTGGCATAGGGAGCAATAGCATTGACATAAGGGGTCAATAATGTTGACATAAGGGTACAATATCGTTGACATAAGGGGTCAATAATGTTGACATAGGGAGCAATAACATTGACATAAGGGGTCTATAATGTTGACATAAGGGGGCAATAATGTTGACATAAGGGGACAATAATGTTGACATAAGGGATCTATAAAATTGACATCAGGTGTACACTTCAACAAAGTCTCGATAAGTGTTCGGCGCATGCGCGATAAAGAAACGTATTCTATCTTTAAACAAAAAAATTTACGTCGATAGCTAGTTGCAATATATCATTAGGATGTTTATGACGTTGATATGACAATAATACATGCACGCACGCAGAAATTTTAGGATTAAATACATAGATTCCAAACATGATTGACGTTGAGTTGGGTTTGTATAACCTTGAGTTTGCTATTATATGTTCCTGTAATATACATTACATGGCTTTTTGCTGACTTTAAATAAATCTCACCGACATTTTTCGCACGGAAATAACTTTTTTTTCCTGCAAAATTGAATTTTTTCTCACTTGTCTCCATAGTTGTTTCTGGATGATAAAACCGATGAAAAGTTGGTGATTTGTATATTCCTCTGTGCCATAACAATAACTACACTTTATTTTGCTGTCGAAGTCTTTGTCACTTTACATATATCAATTAGACACTGCGTTTCTACTATGATTTATATCATAGATCATTTGGTTGATATAATCCATACATTTTCCCTGCAGAACTTCAAAAAATGAACTTTTTTGGGCAAATTGAATAAATTGATGTTTTACAAAGCCTACGAAAACTATACAGAATGCGATTTTATTTGAAAAGTGATTGTAATATTTGTGTATATCTGTTATTCAATTTACTCAACTTGTTTATTGATTTAGGTTGAAACATGCCTTTGGCGAGTTACACATGGAGTTGATAAACGAAAATCACTGACTCATTAAATATCAGAAGAACAAGTGAATTTGATTTTATCGATTTTATTACTCGGGAAGCATGCTGTCTTGTGAATACTTCTCCTTACAACAGTTATTGTCTAAAGGGGTTGTTGAAACAAAACATGACGTCATAATAACATCATTGTTCTCCTGTGTGCATGTATGGTGGCGATTGATTGTCCCAAATGACTCTGACATGGGAAAGATATCAGCTTTGATGAAATCGACAATGATATCGTTTATATGCCTGGTAATCGTTATGAACCGAAACTTGCTCTTTGTTTGGTATATTTTTTTCATTTTTGTATAATAACACGATCCGCCATATCGCTCTCTCTGACATGAGAAACAGGAGACTACCAATATGTCAACATAATCATTATCCAAACTCGATAGAATTCAATAAAATATATATATGAACAAGAGAAATATTCATACAGCGATTCCTGAAAAAAAATCAATGTTCCGGAAGAATAACCGTCTTCTTTGTCATCACTACGAACCGCCATATATATTTTGGTCAATCCAAGAAAGGAATGTCACGTTCTCAAATGAGAACAAAGTACACAACATTGAAACAAACAAGGAAATATAATATGTCTGTATCAGATTACTATTACGTCAGTAAAACCGTGTTGTTTATCTACCTGCATCTCTTAACCCCTGTCTTACAAGTTTGTCCGTCATTTGATGGCTACTTGCACTAAGATTTTGATAATGGGAACAGGCACTTGAATATCGAATCCTGCATCCCTCCCACACATATATTGTTTACATGTATACAAATATAAGTTCGGGAAGGATCAGGATGGTTGTAACAAAGAAATGCAAACATCACAATAGAGAAAATGGAATCATCACGCTTATCATACAGCTGTGATTTTGTGTTTCATGGTAGGAA